GAAGCCAATCTTGCAAGCTGAAGCAGGGAACTGCTAAGGCAGCTGCACCCTGGTGCGACCATCACAAAGCAAGAGACCCGAGAACTAGAAAGGCAAGGCTCACCACCCATTTATCCCTCCGCCTTTCAATTAGCCCCATATGTGATTATCAGCCAGGTTGGCACAATTAACTAACTCAGGCACCAAGCCTCAGCAAGGTTCTTTCAGTAACAGTAATCTGGTCGGCAGAGGACGGCTTGTATGAGCCACTCCCAGGAGCTCAGGCCTGGCCCTGACTAGTTTGGCAGCCACTTGGACCCCTGAGTCCTGGGAAACACTGTGTCTGTGTGAGTGGGGGGTCCATTGCGGAGGGGGAGGAGCTTCCGTGGGGAGGGTCAGGGGCTCCATAGAAAGACCTTTCCCCGAGAAGAAGGGCGATTCTCAAGAGGAAACGGCCCCAGCAGCCTTCTCTGTGCGTGATGTCCCGAGCCCCATCACCCATTTCCGACTGGGAGGAGGCTTCAGGGAGGGGCGGTCAGAGGCTGCCCTGCTGCTTCAAAAACGTCCACGGACAAATGTCCTGAGACGTCACAGCTCCTGTGGTCTGCGGCAGCTGAGGCCAGCTGTGTGGAAGAGAGAGAGCCCGCCCCTCCCCTGCTGTGCATAAGCAAATGTGGTGAAGAAAGCTGATGGTGCCCAGCTATCTAAAGATACAGTGTCTGGGGTCTTAAAGGCTTGAAGGCAAACAAGCGGCCATCTAGCTCAACAAAGCCCGCAACAAAGCCTGCATGTGTAAAGCCAAATTAGCCCCCATGACTGGCTGCGAGATCTCGGGCAGGCTGTGGTTTCATGTTTCCTAGCAGTGCAAAGTAGGATGTACCCAGAGACTGAGGCTAGCCAACCAGGGAATAACACAGCGAACCCAACCTCCGAGGGGAGGATCACATGGCCAGCGCGGGTACTACACAAAGGACCAGACTGCCAACCTACCTCAAATGAGCCAATCAGTGGATTGATGGGAAGGGGGGGGCTGGGAACGCCCCTTTACATGTACCTGTGAATAAATACTTTGGAATTTCTTTTGTGAGGGCTCTTGTCCAAGGCGGTGCACGCAGTTAAGCACCTGAGGACTTGAGCCTTGGCTTAAGCTAGTATAATTAAAACCTCTTCTGTTATTGCAGCCTTGTGTCTGATCTCCTTCCATTAAAAGGGTAATTGCTCCAGGTCCCTAACACATGGAAGGAGCACACCAGCTTCTGTGATCACGAAGTGTTGAAGGGATCAGTTATCAGGCATCAAAGAACAAAAAAATCCTATCATTGTGAATAAGGGGGAGTGCGGGGTGGAAAACCAGAGCCCATCTGTAGGCAATTGGACATCGCCTTACGGAAAGGTCTCAGGAAGGAAAGGAGCCAGCCAGGGTGCAGTGTAGCAACTAAGAACCAGGAAACTTTCCTCTAGTTCCTAAATGATTCCTCCCCCACTATCAAGATCCCAATTCTACCATACAAATTTGGCTAGACCAGAGGATGTACACTGGTACAGATAGGAACTGGAAACACACGGAATCCAGGGCGGATGATCCCTTCAGGACCAGTGGTGAGAGTCGAGATACCGGGAAGGTGGAGGGAGGGTGGGGTGCAAAGGGGGAGCTGATTACAAGGATCTACATATAACCAACTCCCTGGGGGACAGGCAACAGAAAAGTGGGTGAAGATAGAAGTAGGACAGTATAAGATATGACAAAATAATAATTTATAAATTATCAAGGGCTCATAAGGGAGGGGGAGGGAGGAGGGGAAAAATGAGCTGATGCCACTGGCTCAAGTGGAGAGCAAATGTTTTTAGAGTGATGGGGGCAATGAATGTACAAATGTGCTTTTTCATAATTGATGTATGTAAGGATTGTGATAAGAGTTGTATGAGCCCCTCATAAAATGATTGCAAAAAAAGATTGATGCGTATAATTAGGGCTTCTTAGGTTTCGTTACTGTATAATGTAGGCTGTGTCATGTAAAATGTATACTGCATAACGTATGAATACACCACAGTTGACTCATCCTGTTTGATGGTAAAGAAAGAGCTCTCTCTCCCAGTCCTTGCTCCCTCCTGGTCCTCCTTCCCCTCCCTCACTCCTGATCCTCCTGCTCTCTCTCCTGCCCTGAACCACTAAGAGGAGCTGAGGTGAGCAGGCTACCATGAAATGTGTCTGACTCCATTATTTCAATCTCTCCTTATTCTCTACGACTTTATTATAACATATATATTTTTTAACCATACAATTGCACCTATCGAACCCTTGATTGGTTGTGGGGGGGCTGGCCTTCCCCCATAGCCTTCAGCTCTTCAACTGAACCACACTTTAAGGCCGGTTTCGTATTCGGTGGGGTATTTCAAACTCAGTGGAACTCAAGCAGCAAGGCTGGCGGTTTGAACCCACCCAGCACGAGGGAGCCCACATCGGCTTTCTGGAAGGAGGCCCAGGGGTGGTGAGGGCGCCCTACAAGGAGCCCACATCGGCTTTCCTGTGGAAGGAGGCCCAGGGGTGGTGAGGGCGCCCTACAAGGGTCTCTGGGAGTTGAGTCAACACTAGGGCACCAAGCCTCAGCAAGGCTCTTTCAGTGACAGTCATCTGGTCGGCGGAGGACCCATTGTGTGAACCACTCCCAGAAACTCAGGCCTGGCCCTGACTAGCTTGGTGGCCACTGGACCCCTGAGTCCTGGGAAACATCGTGCGTGGTTGGTGGTGGTCCATTGAGGAGGGGGAGGGGCTTCCATGGGGAAGGTCAGGGGCTCCATAGAAAGACCTTTCCCTGAGAAGAAGGGCAATTCTCAAGAGGGAACACCCCCGGCAGCCCCATCTGTGCGCTTTGCACATGATGTTCGGAGCCCCAACACCCACTTCGGACCGCAAGGAGGCTCCGGGGAGGGGCTGTCCGAGTCTGACCTGCTGCTTCGAAAATGTCCACGGACAAATGGCCTGAGAACATCACAGCTCCTATGGTCTGTGCGGAGGCTGAGGCCCAATGTGCGGACAAGAGAGCCTGCCCCTCCCCCGCTGTGCTCCCCCACCTGGTCTCAAGGGGCATGAAGATGGGCCCAACGCAGCTTCCATGAGAGCAGCGTGTCCCACAGTCGTGGGGGAAGCCCCTGGCTGGTTGGGTCTGTCTCCAGGGTGGGGGGCGGGGCTGCATGGCCACACACTTCTTCCTCAGTTTCTCAGGACAATAGGGGTCCTTGCCTTGAGCTAGAAGGTTGCAGGGAGCCTGAGCATCGCACCCCGTGCGCCGGGCCCCACGTCCTCCCTCCCGCTGCAGGTTTTCTGCGTGCCCACTGTCCTCCAGCTGCCCAGCCAGCGAGCAAACCTGTGTTGGAGGGTCTGAGAGCACACACACAGACACGCACACACGGGCACACTCGCACACCAGCGTGTCCTCTCACAGGGCACTGGGGGACCCTTAAAGACAGCAGCCCTTCACCCCAGCCAAGGAGCAGACAGAGAGAGGCGTGTGGAGAATACATGGATATGGACTAACGAGTCCTAAAGCGCACCTTCACTCTGCCCTGTAAGGCCAACCGCACACAGCAAGGCCGATAGCACACAACTGGAAAATGATTCCGAGACATCATGCTGTGTTTTGGACTTTTGTATTTGCAACGCATTTCGAAGAATAATGCATCTGACAGAGCGTGTGTGTGTGTGATGAGAACTGCGTGCCACCTTTATGCTTTACTCCTTCAAAGGAGTCTGGTAAGGAACGTGCTGTTAAGTAAATGCTCAGTGGGGGCAGGCTCCTGTTATTTTCTATGGGTTGGGGGGTTAGCATTTTCTTTTAATCTCACAAAAGGGATAAGAAGGGGGTGGGGGGATTTTGTCTGTTAGTCGTTCTACTCTTACACACACACACCAATATCTTAACTGTTTGGTGTTAGTTACACAAGCACTTTGGATTTTGGTTTTATACGTGGTCAATCGTTTTGTCATTATTGATTAAAAAATACATCCTACAAATATTCTCATTTTTTCAAACAGTCCAACTCTTTTGAAAAATGAAGCATGAATGCTCCCCTGCTTGCCTCTTAATCCTTCTTCATGCTGCCCCAGAGAGAGCTCGCTCTACGCGCCATCTCCCCATTCAGTCGTCTGTACATAAAACAGCACCACATGCACGTCATTCACATAGCCCCTGCTGCAGCTCCACCTCCTCAGCAGCAATCATCATGCGACGTCTCTCTCTCTCAATCACTGCACACAAGCAATGTCCCCTCCACAGCTGTCCTAATCACCTCTGTACATTTGAAAGCCGGTGATGAGCCCACCCACTGCCATCTCCACAAAGACACAGCTCTCTCTGGGTTCATGCAGGAGACTGAGGTGAATCCAAACCCTTCAGAGGCTCAAGTAGAAAGAAAATGTTTTGAAAATGACGATGGCAACAAATGTACAATGAATGGATGGGTGGATTGGGATAAGAGTTGTCCGAGTCCCCAATAAAATAATTAAAATACAAAATCATATTATCCATTTGGTTTTCCACATACGCTTAAATTCACTTCTTATTACTAAAAACAAAAAATAAAAATTTAAAAAGTAAAAAAAGACAAAGAAAATATGTCCTAGTGATAGAAACTCAGCTGGAGATCCTAGGATAGAATTTCCAGTCACAGACTTTGTGTCACTGCAAATAGTTTCAGCAGCTCTCTATCTTGCGGCGGCATGCCGCGGGAGTGTCTATGCCCTACTGCGGGGTGGCCCAGCACAGCGCTATAGCACTGTGTGTGTGTGTGTGTGTGTTGTGTGCAGACTCCTGGGCACACAATGCTGTGGCTGCTCCTCTACCGGGTCCTGGTACAAAAGCACACATCTCCCTTGAAGGAGTCGGCGCAGGATGGGGTCTGTCTGATGGCTGAAGCGTGTTCCAGGTAAGGGTGATGCCAAGACTACCTGAACCAGGAGCTGTGCCCGACCCGTCCTGCACTGGCACATACAACAGACACCTGTGTTGTTCTGACTCCCTCAAGAAGCCTGTTCGCCAGCACCACACGCCTGCCCGTTCATCTAGGCCTTCTCCACGCGCTGCACACACTCGAAAAGCACAGACGACGGCAGGACGCTGCTATGCGTGCACCGCAAGGCACACACCCGCACATGTAGCTGCTGTGTGCTGACGTCTGGTCGTGCACGGCTCTGCGTGCACAAGCGGGCAGGCACATTCACGTATAGCTGTGATGTCTGGTGACGTGCTGCTCTGCGTGTAACACGCACATGTAGCTGTTGTGGGGCTTGTGGCGGCATGCTCACTAACCCCCGTGCGTACCTGTTTTGTCTGTCAGCAGAGACACGCGGAGGGTGCTGGTGCGGATGACCGTCCGGCGATGTGCTCGTCCCTCATGCTCATCCAGCCGCAGGCCGGCCGCTTTGCCAGGTCCAGGATCACGCGCCAGCTGCCAGGGAAAACATATCCGCACTCAGCACAGCCCAAGACAGGAGATGTTTTCAGAGGAATCTGCTTATTGACAGATAGTACTTTTAAATTCCATTGGGGCCACACTGGATTTCAGACTGTTAGGCGAATTGGTTGACAGTGAAGTCAACGCAGGTTTTCCCGCTCAGAGAATGGTGGCAGAACCCCAAAGGCACAGCTGTCCAGACGATCCCGCCGCGCTGTGAGCCTTTAAGACTCAGTGGAATGACTGTGGGCTTTCAGGGCCCG